CCCCCCCCCCCCCCCCCCCGGCCAGAGTCGTCGAGCTTGAATACAAACCTTGGTTGTAAGCTCATCCGCCAGCCAAGTTGCTCCAGTCGAGCCCCAGTTTGGAAGCTATTGTCTGCCTTCCGGTCCTATCACAGACAAACCACACGGGCCCATACCTACGATATCGACGATTTTGGATTTCTCTTGAACAGCCGTCACCTACTTACATTTCATACATAATCCCCTCTGGCCCCCCTTGGCTGTTGTTGGAGCCACGTCGTCTTGGAATGTTTTGTCAAGCCCTCTCTCTGTCTCTGCTGTCTACTTAATTCGCGTCTAGAGACCAACGACCGTAAGACCAGCAGCCATCCCTGATTCCCTGTGCCCTTCCAGCGTTGCAACCGTTACGGACATCGCCACTACAGCTTCCCACAGGCCCTACCGACGTCGTTGATAGGGTGAAACCGTTCTAACTTTCTTGCTGATCAGGCAGATATACCTGGGATCCCACCGTGTTGATCCTTACAAGTTTTGTCTCCTCTCTGAACCGCCTAGAACCAAGCTCCATCACCGCCGGTCTGCTACGCTAGAGCCCGCTTAGCGCCTCACCGACACGCCAGCACTCTCCAAGCTCCCCTCCATACTAAAGGTCGTGGGAAGCTCCCTCCGACCCCGCCCTTCTTTCCTCAACATGATCCCCAGAACAATGGTTTCCAACGAAGTTTACCTGTTGCCGCTCAAGGACGATGGCTCGCCTGACGTGCCTGGCGAGTACATTTACATTGCACCCAAGTCGAAAGATCCAGTAACCATCCGCTTTGCCATCGAGGGCACTTCCAGCATCTGCAGCCATGGCAGCTTGTGGGTGAACATCCCTGAGCACGGCCAGCAGTTCCAGCGGAACAAGTTCCGCGAGTTCAAGTAAACAAACCCACCCCCTACTTTTACCAGATGAAAGCTGTAAAATACCGGGAAACATTGCTAACAATCACATTACAGGCTCGTCCCTGACTTCAACCGCACGCTCGAGATTTCGATTCCGATTTACGAGGCTGGCGCATACGCCTTCTACACCACATATGCCGAACTCCCTGATTTGGCTAGCAACCTGGTAAACGCCGACGGAACCGTCACCAAGGCCACTCAGAAAAAGACACCAGTCTACTATATCGATGTCGCACCTAGGCTCTCGCTGGACGGGCAGCCGCTGCCAATTCCGGCGCTATCCATCTTCTCCATTATCAGCAAGTTCATGGGCAAGTACCCAACAGACTGGGAACGCCACCTACGGGGAATCAGAAACCGAGGATACAACATGATCCACTTCACACCACTGCAGGTACGAGGTGCATCAAACTCGCCATACAGCTTGTATGATCAACTGGGCTGGGACCCAGCTTGCTTCCCCGCGGGCGAGCCCGATGTCCAGAAGATGGTGGAAAGTCTGGAGAAGAACCACTCACTGCTCAGCTTGACGGACATTGTCCTCAACCACACTGCACACAACAGCGAGTGGCTTTTGGAGCACCCCGAGGCCGGTTACAACTTGACGACTGCGCCATGGCTCGAGTCCGCTTACCTTCTCGATACCAAGCTGCTCGAGCTTGGTACCAGATTGGAGGAGCTTAGCCTCCCCACTGAGCTCAAGGACGTCGATGATTTGGTCAAGATTATGGACGCCATCAAGAAGGAGGTCATTGCTCAGATCCGTCTCTGGGAGTACTATACTCTCGATGTGGAGCGCGACGCTGATGCCGCGGCTGAGGCTTGGGTTGCCAACGAGACTGACTTCCCACAAGGATCCATTGGAGCTGGCGGTATCGACGCTCTTCACTCCGCTACACCTAAGGAGCAAGCAGAGTTCTTGACCAAGCATGGTCTGCAGAACATGGATTATCTCGGTGAGCGCTTCAGGCGGAGGGTTAACCCCAAGGTGGCTGCCGCTCTTTTGTCTGCCCTCTTCGGCCGGTACGAAGGGGAGACTAAGGACACTGCCGACCAGGCAGCTGCCAGGAACAAGATTGTTGAGATCCTAGAGATTGTCAACGTTCCATTTTACAAGGAGTATGACGACGAAGTTGCCGAAATCTTGCAGCAGCTCTTCAACCGCATCAAGTACGTCCGCCTCGACGACCATGGCCCCAAGTTTGGGCCTATCAACGCCGAGAACCCCCTGATCGAGACGTACTTCACGCGTCTTCCCGTCAACGAGAAGACGAAGAAGCACAAGAAAGAAGACCTTGTTCTTGCGAACAACGGATGGGTATGGGGCGGAAACGCGCTGGTCGACAACGCCGGCCCCAACTCTCGTGTCTACCTTCGCCGCGAAGTCATTGTCTGGGGAGACTGCACAAAGCTCCGTTACGGCAACGGTCCTGAAGACAGCCCATGGCTGTGGGAGCACATGACCAAGTACGCCCGTATGCTGGCCAAGTACTTCGCCGGTTTCCGCATCGACAACTGTCATTCCACTCCTCTTCATGTTGCCGAGCACATTCTGGACGAGGCTCGTCGTGTTCGTCCCGATCTCTATGTCGTTGCCGAGCTTTTCACCGGTTCCGAGGAGATGGATTACGTCTTTGTCAAGCGCCTGGGTATCAGCGCCCTGATTCGTGAGGCCATGCAGGCATGGAGCACTGGCGAGCTCAGTCGTCTGGTTCATCGCCACGGAGGTCGCCCCATTGGTAGCTTCGAGGTCGATGAAATCACAAGCAACGAGGGTGGGTCATCATCCATCAGCAGCACGAATGGAGATGGCGTCTACACCCGTGAGGTCATCCGCCGTATCAGGCCAGTTCCCGTACAAGCACTATTCATGGATTGCACTCATGACAATGAGGTTCCTGCTCAAAAGCGTGATGCCCGCGACACGCTCCCTAACGCAGCCCTGGTCGCCATGTGCGCCAGCGCTACCGGCAGTGTGATGGGATACGACGAGATTTACCCCAAGCTTGTTGACTTGGTTAGCGAGACCCGTCTTTACACTTCCGAGGCATCCAAGGCTCCCGTCAAGACGGGAGAGGGTAAAGGTGGAATTGCGGGTGTCAAGAAGCTTCTCAACCAGATCCACACCTTGATGGGCATGGATGGCTACGATGAGACGCATATCCATCATGAGGGCGAGTACGTCACTGTCCACAGAGTTCATCAGGAGTCAAGGAAGGGCTACTTCCTCATTGCCCACACTGCGTTCCCCGGTTATGGAAATGGCAACGGCGCTTTCAACCCTGTTCATCTGACCGGTACAAAGGCTCGCCACCTCGGTAGCTGGATGCTTGAGGTTGATGCTAGCAAGGAAGCTGTTGAGGAGGTTCTGAGCGATAAGAAGCACCTTCGCGGTCTTCCCAGCCGTCTGATTGGTCTGCCTGGCGTACGGATGGAAGTGAAGGGTCAAGATACCATCATCACCGTCCGTGAAAAGTTCCCTCCCGGAAGTATTGCTCTCTTCGAGACCTGGATCCCGGCGGCGGAGCACTCGAGCGGTTTGGACAACTTTGTCACCTCTGGCGCGAAGGCCGCAATGGAGGAGCTTGATCTTGTCGACCTCAACTTCCTGCTGTACAAGTGCGAGCCCGAAGAGCGTGATGCCAGCGAAGGCCAGGATGGTACCTACGACATCCCCGGCCACGGCAAGATTGTGTATGCTGGCTTGCAAGGTTGGTGGAGTATCCTCAAGGATGTCATCAAGGACAACAACCTCGCACATCCTCTGTGCCAGCATCTTCGTGACGGCCAGTGGGCTCTCGACTACATTATTGGGAGACTCGAGCGCGCCTCGAAGAAGGAGGAGTACCGCCGGTTGGCCAAGCCTGCGCGGTGGTTGAAGGAGCGCTTCGACGCTATTCGCCCCATCCCAAGCTTCTTGCTTCCCAGATACTTCGGTCTTGTTCTTCGTACTGCCTATCTCGCGGCCTTTGAGCGCGGTATCTCCCTGATGGACAGCAACGTCATTAAGGGCCAATGGTTCTTGCAGAGTTTGGCCATGGTCAGCGTTCAGCAGACTGGTCTTGTCAAGTCGGCGTCACTATACCCTAACAGGCTCGTTCCGTCGCTTGCTGCGGGTCTTCCTCACTTTGCTGTCGAGTGGGCTCGCTGCTGGGGTCGTGATGTGTTCATTTCCCTCCGTGGCTTGTACCTCGGTACAGGTCGTTACGCCGAGGCCAGAGAGCACATCCACGCCTTCGCCAGCGTGCTTAAGCATGGCATGATTCCCAACCTCCTAGGAAGCGGCAACAACCCCAGATACAACTCCAGAGATTCTGTTTGGTTCTTCCTGCAGTGCATCCAGGACTACACCCGTCTGGTTCCCAATGGCTTGTCGATCCTGGGCGACAAGGTCAAAAGGCGCTTCCTCCCTTACGACGATACCTACTTTGACGTCAATGATGAGCGTGCGTACAGCAAGGAGAGCACCATCGCCGAGATCATCCAGGAAGTCTTCCAGCGCCACGCCGAGGGCATGAAGTTCCGTGAAGCCAATGCCGGCCCCAACTTGGATATGCAGATGAGCGACGAGGGTTTCAACCAGGAGATCAAGGTTGATTGGAGCAACGGCTTCATCTTTGGTGGCAACCAGGCCAACTGCGGTACCTGGATGGACAAGATGGGCGAAAGCGAACGCGCTGGTTCCAAGGGCGTTCCAGGAACTCCCAGAGACGGTGCTGCCGTTGAGATCACGGGCATGCTGTATAGCAACCTAAAGTGGGTGGCTTCTCTCAATGAAGCCGGCAAGTTCAAGCACTCCCGCGTAAAGAAGGCCGATGGCACTGAGATTGCCCTGAAGGACTGGGCTGCGCTCATCAAGGAGAACTTTGAGCGTTGCTACTTCGTCCCCATTTCCCCAGATGAGGACTCCAAGTATGATGTTAATCCGGCAATCATCAACCGCCGTGGTATCTACAAGGATCTCTACCGCTCCGGCAAGGAGTATGAAGACTACCAGCTCCGCTGCAACTTCCCAATTGCCATGACATGCGCTCCTGAACTCTTTGTTCCGGAGCACGCTATGCATGCTCTTTGGGTAGCAGACACCGCTCTCCGCGGTCCCACTGGTATGGCTACGCTCGACCCCAGCGACCTGAACTACAGGCCGTACTACCGCAACAGCGAGGACAGTGACGACTTTGCCACCAGCAAGGGCCGCAACTACCACCAGGGTCCCGAGTGGCTCTGGCCTACTGGTTTCTTCCTTCGTGCGCTGCTCAAGTTTGATTTGATGCGTCGTGGCCGTGATGATGCCGAGGGCCGCACCGAGGCCTTCCAGCAGGTCACCAGGAGACTAATTGGATGCAAGGAGATGATTGAGCGGAGCCCATGGGCTGGACTTACGGAGTTGACGCAGAAGAATGGAGAGGAGTGCCATGATTCGGTGAGTTCCCCATCTGCACAACCCTCCGATTATGAATGCCATACTAACCGTTCATTCCTTCTGTACAGTCTCCCACCCAAGCGTGGTCTTCTGGTTGCTTGATCGATCTGTACATGGATGCCGCTGAGGAACAAGCCAAGCTTGAGAGGCAGTCGCTGCCCCTGAGATAGGTATCAAGGGTGGTTGAAGAGGCTACGAACTTGGTTACGAAGCTGACGACTACGACAACGGTGACGAGCGAGCGTGACAGCGATGATGACGCGGGAAATGACGAGAAATGGTGGTCCTTGGACGAAAAGCTGAAATAAATGTGATAGATCATGGGATGGAGCGTTTGCGTACAAACACTTTGGTTTAACCTAGACAAAGAACCGAAAAGAGACAGACACAAAGAAGGCAAGCCAGCAAGCAAGGATCTTGCTTTTTTGGAAAGAGAGTAGAGATATAGGATATAACCTAGAGAATGAAGATTATACCTTTACTAAAGGTGTTACACCGCCCGGCGTTTCACCATGTACCGACTATATATGGTAGAATACTTACCTAGTGTAGTGTCCGGGGCTATAAGTGATGGGCAGCAAGGGCTTCAGCATTTATAGATTTGCCAAGGCACCATGGCTTCTTGGGCTCTTGGGGGGCTCCAAAAGTCAAGGAACTTGGCGAGCTTGGGAACGTAACGAGATTGCCATTCTTAGATTCTTGACATTGCTATGTGCGATGATCCACTACTTCAACTTTCGGCACTTTGGGGAGGGCATATGAGCCTTAAACAAAAGATCAAAAGGGGGGTTTTGGAAGACCAGAGTTTTGTGACAGTATAATCAACCTAAAATGCATTGTATTCTTTTGGGCACAAACAGAAACCTCCGCTCTATTTGGTAATGAAGAGGATTGACTTCCAAGGACCGTTCGAATATCTGGCTTCTTCCCAGCCAGGCAGAAATGGTTGGTAATACCGTGGTTTAGGAGGTATCCTTTATCGTCCCTTTGTCGTCCCTTTCTCTTCTCTTGTCTTCTCTCCTTTTGACCATCATGCATGCATGTCTCCCTTCATGCTTCTATTTCCCCTTTCCACCTCCTCCTACCCCTTTCTGTACAGCCTAGCTTATAGCTCACATCGCAGAGCCTATCCATGCTACTGATACAGTTTGACAAACATACATTGCCCGCCCCCCACCACCCCGTGTAAAGAAAACTAGAATAATTGAAAGGAAAAAAAAAAAAAAAAAAACGCCGACTAGATGGAAAAGTGTGTCAGAAGCTCAATGGCAGGGACAGCAAATAACGTGGACCTCGCGCGGTGATACCCAACAAGAGCGTAAGGATGATAGTTGGTGGACTAAAAGTGATATGCGAAAACTGGTCCTCCAGTTGAAAAGGAGGGAGAAGTGGTGGGCGGTGGGCGGAGGTGGTGAAAGACTGATCTATTGTGCGGTGTCGTCGATTGCTCGAACATCCATGTTCGAGATGAGTTTATCCGTATTATTGCCTTCCTCATAGTGTCATCGACAGAACAAACAGCCATATGCGTGAACGTAGAGCAAAGCCCGTTGGACGCAATCATGTCCTCTCCTTAACGGTCCACTTCTTCTTCGTCTTCCTTGGCTTATCGTCAAACACGGTAGCCTCGGCGATAGGCGCAGGCGAGAACATGGTCGCTCCGGGAACGTGCACGCCGTCGTTGGGGATCACATGGCCGGACTCGGTAGTGTGGGCAAGGTTGTTGCCGAGCGCGTACCGGCGGTCACGCTTGCGGAGGTAGGCTCGCCTCCAGAAGCAGGCACCTATCCAGATGCCGATGATGGCGACCACGATGATGACGAGGAAGATGATCCATTGGTAGTGATTGTCCACCCTGTTGAAAGGTACAAGTGTTAGTTACATGCTGGGTCAACAACGATACTGTGACGTCGGCGGTAGTGTACCGATGGGCTGGTATTGCGCAGTTGCAACATGACGCCGATCAACGTAGGATTGAAGGATGAAAACTGAGAAAGGAACATACCATGAGCCTCCGCCGTTATCCTTGCTTCCGACAGCGGTACTTGTCGACGTTGCTGCTGTGCCAGTCGCTGTCCCAGCGGCATTGCAGTAGCCTGTGTACCATGCCTGTTTGACATCATATGTCAGTTACAATCCCCATACCGTGTTTGATTAACGATCAAAGAACGTCTAATTCCCCGTACCTGAATGCTTGCCAAATCTGTAGGAGTAGCCGCACAAGCACCATCGCACACCCCGGCCGTGCCGGTACTGAAGGGAGCTAATCGTGCATCACCGCAGAAACACTGCTGGAGAACGCTGGCGGCGGCCGTCGCGGTTGCGCAGGCTCCGTTAACATCATAAAGGGGACCACATGCCGTTGCGCATGCAGGCAACGATTGTGTTGGGAAGATTGTCGTTACTGGCGCTAGAGTACAGCGGCGGTGTTAGCTACAAGCTACAGCAGCAAACAAAGGAACAATGCAGTAGCAGGGGGGGGGGGGGGGGGGGCGCCAGATATGGCTCCTTTGTGGAGAGCTCATGCAACTTCGTAAGCACGGTTTTGACGTACCAGCCATTTTGAATGATTATGTACGGTTGGATGGGGGATATTTTGTCGGTGTCTGTGCAAATATCGTCGAGTGGGCGAGGTTTTGGTGTTGTTATTGTTTCCGAAAGAATGGTCCTCTTCCAGGTGTATCAGGCTGCCGTGATTTGGCGACAGCGCTGCTGCGTGTGGTGGCTTACTTCGCCCCAAATGTGTGTCGGCGGATGGAATGCTACGTCCGCCCAACCTTCAATTCCTTCCACCAAGATGCCCCCGAAAATGCGCCCGTATTCAATTTAATCGGTGTCTGCGAAGCGAGCGAAAGGGGTTGCTGGTCGATTTAACAGAAAGACCGAATGATGGTTGCTGAGTGTTGTCCAATTGACACACTCCTTTTCCTGATGTTGGCCCTATTGATTCTTGTCCCTGAAACCGTCGTTGTATGGTCGAATGACAGCTGACGGGCGAAAGCTTGTTGATACTCTCGTCTCACCGTCACACCCGATGTCAGATGGCTGCTGGCGCCCGGGTCCGTGGAGAAAACCGAAGGAACGACAGTGCAACGAATACGATCGCTTTGGAACTCTGTTGTTGACCGTTGTTGCGGATGGTGATAACGACGAGATTGCTGAAGAAACGATTGAAGGCTTGGTGTTGTGCGTGATTCAGTTGGTCCCTTTGCCGTCCGGGGGGGTTTGTCTGGGCAGACAAGTACGCGGATCTTCCCTCAGTGTATTTCCCTGGTAATGTCCGAGTGTTCCTCTCCGATTAGATCGGTCCAAGCGAGCGGACGGACGGTGCGAAGTGTCGTCAAAGCTGAACGATTGATGTCTTTGCCCGTCGTGAAAAGCGGCAGAATCAGGAGAGGCTCGATTCTCGAAGTCGTCGTCGGGGGAAGCGAATGTCGGCGGTGGTCGAGTCGTCGTTGTTGGTGAGATGTCGGCGGTAAATGGCAAAATGGAAAAAAGCAAGTGACAAAGAGCAAAAGAGAAAGGCGAAGCGAGGGGAAAGCGGATGATTACGCAGTGCAAACGAGGGTGTGAGTGAGCGTCAGCACTCGGGGCAGCGTGGATGGACCAATCTGGATTCTGGACTCTTTTTGGGAATGTTATTGGATTGTTGCAGTTGTTGGCAGGCTGACTGCAACCCGCAACTTTTGGTCCTTCTTTCTTCGCCCGATGGTGGACGGCACGCCGGCTTCTTCCCTTTTTGCTGGGCGTCCCGGGCTGGGCGTCCTGGGCTGGGCTAGGCGGGCTGAGGATCGACTCCCGGCCAATCAGAAGAGAGGATCCATCGCAAATAGGTACGAGACAATGAGCGCGCATGGAAAGGTGAACCGGGAGTGCTGGAAGTGCTGGAAGTGCTGGCACAGCGCCAGGCACTTTTCTTAGCAGGTGGAACTCGGATGCACCAGCTGGCGCGTCACAGATGTTCCAAATCTCCCAGCTGTCGTCCCAACCCAAGTTGCGGTTTCCTCTTCCGAATTCGATGCTGTCGGCTGCTCAATCTTCAATTCCTTGGCTTGTCTTGCAATCTCCTCCGCTCAGTCAGCAACATCCTCAACACCAACACCAACCACCGACACCAACATTCGGCAACACCACCTTGTGACCTTCTCCCCACGAGACCGACGGCATGTGTGTCGAAAACCAAAGCAGGATTTCTAACCACTGCGATCCCGTCGATTGCCCATTTCTTATTTTCCAGCTCGAATCACCCTTGGCACTCTTTGTAGGAGGTCGGGCTGGTCGGCGCAGCCCTTGGCGGCTCCTTGGCTCCAGCATCAGGACTGCAAATCGAACCCATGCTCTTTGAGGAGTAGCGGCTATTCCCTTCTTCCCCCTCGACCTGCACTCAAAACCTTGAACTCGACATTGATGTTCTAGGTTGACGTCACCTTTCTTTACTTTCAAGATGATGGGGTTAATCAACACGCTTTTTACATGTCTGGCAAGTTATCCTGGATTTGCCGCAACACACTGAAACGGTTATCTTCACACAATGAGAGCAAGTGCGTGAATGTTGAACACATATCTACCTCCCCCCTGTTGTCAATATTATGTAGGAATTCTTTATTTCCCGCTGGTGTTTTGGCCGCCAACCGGCATGTTGCTCTGCTTTGTCCAGTCAGCACCAGCTGCTTTTGTTCGTGTTGGTTGCCCTGCCGTTCAGACTCTCCCCGACTTCCAACGACCCCCAATACCCGTGCCACTACTCGCTCCCGTGGAAGGGAGCATCGAACTTCGAGAAACAAAACGGCACATGGAACTGGAAACAAAAGTCTAACCGAGCCGCTTCTCCGACACCACCACCCTCTGAAGATACCCCTCTCAGGGCGATCCGATCTCCCCGGATCTTCCTTCTGCAGCCAATGTCATCATCCCTCGGGTAATATCTGGCCCTGATATGAAACCCGTGCCGATGCGTGTCATCGACCAAAGAAATCCATAAAGTGGAGAAAGAGACGACAACATATCGACAAAGTGATGTTCCAGGGGGTTCCCAATTCGATGTTTTTTTCTTCGCTCTCTCCTTCGCACATCCCAGAAAATTTCCAGTCAAAGAAGCGTGGGAGACAATGGAGTGATCATGATAACCGGAAGAGCCAGTCAGTGGTTGCCGTTGCCCCCCTACCTTCACAGAGCCTCAAAGTCAAGAGAGGCATATGGTAGTTGACCACATGTCCGGTTGCCTTATATCGCGAAATTGGGGTTGCCTTGAGCTTGGGATCATCTCCGTGTTACCAGTGGCTTGCTGCTGTGCCATTCTCCCGTGGCAAAGCCATCTCTAAGAACAGGAAAACCGTCCTCTTGCCATACGATTTTACGCCCGTATACCATTTTCGAAACTCCTTCCGCGCTTACGTGCTTAATGTCAAATATATCAATGCTGATCCGTTGTTCTTGGGCGTGATAATCTCCATCCGGCGGTGAGAAACGGGCAGCCCTGAACGCATAGGCGGGGATGCTGCGCTGCAACCTTCTCTGGGTACATCATGTAATTGCATGATATGTACATGCAGTCCGGCACATGATACCAAGGTGATGGGTACGGTGACAGGATGAAGAGGACGCAAAATTTCAAGCCAACATGGTCTAGGACCGGAAACAGCATCCGTTGACGGTCGAACCTTTCCTTCGGGTGCCGGAACTGACTCCCTCGTGCTTCTCCACGCTGCCGTAGAACCTGCGGATGCCCCCATTGGCTTCCATCCCCTGACAGGTATACCTATCTCGTCCTTCGGTCACGCAGTCGGGTATGATCAGCTCATCAATATGACAAGGGCGGTCAAGCTCTCCTGCACATCAAGTTGTGCTTCAGCTGCTCAAGCTTGTTAGCTACTGGCTCCGGACTTCTGGCTTGATCCGCTGTTCTGCACTACGGGCGATACAGACGCTGTGGAACAGCCCAGACGCAGTTGTGGAAAAAGCACTGCTAATCTTCATAGGTGTCATGGTCATCGAGCCTCTATCAAAGGTATCACCTGGTGATAGGACTTCAAGCCTCAGCTGCCTCCAAACGCGAGATTGCCTGTGCATGTAAGGCACTAACATTTGCTTGTAGTTCCCCCAAAATACATCGCTCGTGGGGGTTTGTGACTCCCAATGTCCGTCGCAGGGTCATATTTACGGTCAAAAGGAATCCCCACTCGTAGAGAGGCCTCTAACACGGTCGCAGCTCGAGGATGTGGTCACTTGTGGAAGATGATATTTAAAGTGCGGTTGGAAATGGAACACGACCTCGGGGGTTCCTCTTGGCAACTAAGGCTTTGGCCACCATCGGAACTCGAGAGAAGTTGCACCAATAGCTTGAAGTCCGAGGATAGCAAGACTGGCAGGTATCCGCAGCATAACTCTTCATCCAAGCCAGGTGTAAGAAAGTCAGCAGCAAGGTGAGAACCGTGAATTTGCTAACCTTTCCTACTGTCTCTCACAGCCCATTTCGATACACTCACACACCGGTTTTCCCTTGCTATACCCTCCTTATACACCAGCGCAACTCAAAAGGTGCCAGAAAAGCCCCGATGATATCGATTTAGGGTTCGTATTTGAACCCTATGACTTACTAGCTTTACCCATCGGTACACGAGATGTCTTGTATCGCGAAAATCACGCGTGTGAGGGAAGCACGAAAATCTAGTTTGACATCTCGCCTTGTATCTTTCCGCCAGCCCTGCCTTGGAGTGACTTCGAACCCTGTCATAACGGGAACTTGCATATAGTATGGCGATGCGGTCGAAGCAATATCTATGTCACGCCTTCACTTCTGGTAAGATTCATACTCTCCCAACTCGCAGGTTGATGAGTTTACCGAAGGCCCGGATGTGAACCAAATCACCCTCTCAACTTGAGGGATCCAGTAACGATACTGGGAAGTAGTAGGTTGTACTACCACTGTCGTTAGGACAGCGTTTCTCTGACACCTTGTGTAGTAATTTGCGGGCCGATGGATGACCGGCTCGCTCGCTATTCATAGGGTATGTGCAAACCCATGACAACCTGCACGTTTCCGCCAGCAATCACTAATTGATAACGAGTTCTGAAGCCTGGGCGCTTATGATGTGCTTTGCCATCTTGGGCAAGATTCCCCGTCGTCGGGACTCGGAACCTTCAGGTCACGGATACGGATTCCGGCTTACGATCACGGGCGGGTTGGGTAAGGCCCGCTGTGGGAACCCTTGTCGGGACACTCACGGGTTTCGAGGCAGCAAGTATGAGAATCAAGTGCGTTTTTCGTATGGTACCGACGCTGAAAAGGGGACTATTCACAGAGCAAGATATCAGCTCGTTGTGATAAGTGAAGGTCTCCAAGCAACATCAACTCTGGATGTCAGCGCCTCGGAGAAAATCACCAGGAAAGGCCATCTATATCACTGAAACGTCCCGAGCATGACAGCACCCCTTCATCCAGGATGTCTGACAGCTGACGATATTACTAGACAACTCCCGAGTATGTCGCGTAGGGCGGGATATGCTCGAAGGCCGCTTCACGTCTGCGGCTCAACATTCCTGGTGCCTGCTCTTCGGGTCGTACGACGGGACGCTGCCTGAGTAGGCCTTATGTCGCTGTCATCACAGGCTACCATTCGGCCGCTTCATCCTCTCAAACGACCCGATGTTTTGACTAGACAAAATCCTATTCGAAGTGGGATGTCCCAAACCGTGAAATGCATGCTGCACCTCTCCCACACCTGGAGTTCTCAAGATTCTTTTGTCTTGCGCCCCTCCTTACTATGTTGCAGGTTGACATCCGCTAGTGTCAACTAAAGAGGCGTGCAGGACTACAACATGTCACCCTACGCACGTACGCAGATAATGCTGGCCACACATGCACCCCAATGGATAAAGAGTATGCGTGCTGTCATACACCAAGTGTGGCTTACTTGCGTGGCACTCTAGTCGGAAGAAGACCGGCTCATGGGCGGGATACTGAGACCAGTAGACCGGAAATCAGCCGGGACTGGGATACCTTGACAACCCGTGAGCTTCGACAAATGCGTGTCAACTTCTCATCGATACCGACCTGGCGAGTAGGAGTTGGGTGATCTACACCGGTCAATATACGTTGGCAACCAACCTATCCAGAATCTCACGCCTACACCACTTCGAGGACACCAGACCGACATCCACACCACTCCGGAGGAGTATATAAGGGAGGCTCCGCCCTGGGCCCATTACCGTCCGAACAGCATCACCATCATCAAGAGACCTCAGCATCTAACTCATCTCATCATTGTTTAACATCGTCAGCATCTCGGCTGAACTAAACAGCAGTCTCATATCAACTGCCTTCACTCATCGACCAACTCCCAGATCCACATCCAATATGTCCGGCCAAGCTTCCACCAATAGTACGTTTATGCCTAGTCACTCCTTCAGCACAGCACATGCCTCCAAGACCTGTCCACGCACCATATCAACCTTTCGATCTTTCCCCCCTGCTCAGTCCTATTTCCCATCCCGAACCCTTTCCCCTTTCCCATCCAGCTTACTCCCCACCATGACCTCTCAAAACAACTCACTAACCCTTAACCCCCATCTGCTCCAGACAACTCCACCAACTCTTACTCCTCCTCCCCTTCCTCCAACAGCACCAGTAGCAACTCTGTCAACTACTCCGCCTACAAAAGCACGTACGGCTCCGCCAACGGCAACACCCCCATCGATCGATACAAGGGCCAGAGTCGCTACGAAGAAGGATGGAATCCCCATCATGTTACTAGTGGTGGGAGCGGGAGCGGGGGTGGATATGGTGGAGGTTATGGGAAGAAGTGACTTGCCTGTGGGAAGGGGTTGGCGATGAAGACTAGGTGATGCTGGTGTTGAAGGTCTGATGAAGATAGTAGCTGGCATTTGCAGAAGTGTGGCCTACGGAGTTTTTGGCGATGAGATGAGTGGTGACACTAGAAACGGACGGCAGTGAAGAAGCCTAGAGGTAGTGAGGCTGGGGTTGAGGCTTGGGTTTGGGTTGAGGCTGGCCCTCATCTGGTTTTCCTTTGTGATCGAGTCGATTGGGAGGTTCATTGGCAGGGATTCATGATCTGCTCTGGTTGGTACGGTTTTGTTTGTCCGGATAAGTCTCAGCATGGCTTGGTCTTGTGCTTTCGAGGGTGTTGGTGGTGTTCATGTTGCTTGGTTAGGTATAATCAATCTGGTGGGAACCATCTCTTGGCATCTTGTTAACAATTTCTCATGTTGCCTGTTTTGGAGGAACTTCGGTTGCGTTGGCAATATTTTAGGAGTTGGACGTTGGATTGGATTGATTGCTTTAGCCCTTTTTGTTAGTTCTCCCTCGCTTCATGTTGGTTGTTCAATCATTGATCACTCGTTTTCTTTCACGAGCGATAACCAAATGTCCGTGCCGCAGGGACAAACGATCAGTCTGGAGATGCAAGCCTTGAAAAGAAGAAGCATGTAGGTAGGTACCTACTTGCTGAGTTGTGAAAAGGTATGTAAGGTCCCATCAACCCGTTGAGCTGGCGGGATATTTCTGGCTAAATCCATGTTTATGTTGGTGCAGGTCACGTCTGAGACTTGTTGGCTGGCACAGGCTCCGTCTCTCCCTCCATCGAGATCTTGCGATGCTAGAAAACGGCTCACTGAGAGCTAACAGCAACCAGAGACGAAAACCGTGCGCAGTAAGTACCCGTCCGTTCTCATAGAGATCAATCGATGGATCCGACCAATAACTTTCGAGGGTCTTATGGATCCACTGCGCGGGAGGAGTGGAACTGGATGACTCCCCCTTCGGAAAGGCACGATGGAAGATAGAAAGATTAGAAGGTGCAATGGAAGAAAGATGACGTCGAGGCAGCAAGAGAGAGACGGGAGTTCGAAATGCCAAACCCGGTCGGTTCCCTTTCTTCCATCTTCAATCTTCTCATCAGCATCAGCATCAGCATCAGCATCAGCATCCGCATCAGCATCCGCATCCGCATCAGCATCCGCATCAGCATCCGCATCAACGAGGCAGGTTGTCCTGGTTTCCATTCTTTCTTTCTATTCTTCTTCCATCGGACCTCCAGAACCAATCACGCTTTTCTGTGTCATCACTTGTCCATTTTTCAACAAGAAAATGCTCAGGTGAAGTCCAGTGAAGGCCTTCCCGTGTTCTCCGGTCCTCCTTCGTCGGAACTTCGGAAACTTCCCGGCACAAAGAAAAGAAAACACATACAAGGGTCTGGCGGTCGCACTGGAAATCTTTTTCCTCCGCCTTATCATCCTCTTTCTGTTTGTTCCAAGTATAATTGCATTCACAGAGGCTCTCCGCAGCCTATTCATCACAGATCCTCCAAGGTTCGAAAGCTTCCTACGGCACAGAGTGGCTGTCCATTGGGAGGCTGACTATATGGGATGGATTCCGAGTGGATGATGCCCTATTCACTGCATATCCTGTGCATTGTCAATCCTTGTTCAAACATGATCAGGAGGAGAGATTTTTAGTTTAAATATTCTTCAACATCCTGGTTCTTCCCTCTTCCAACCATTATCACTACCAGCGCCGGGAAAGACAATCTAGAGCCTCGATTAGCTGACATCAGCAAGATTTTAAGTTTTCCAGCGACCGCATTCGAAGGCTTCCCAACAAATCTAGTATAGTGCTCTCTAAAACTACAGCACAAAATGGCCATTGCAAATGCACTTACACTATTCCCTCTCCCTCCTCTGTTTCTTAGGTGTGGCCTAGTGAAACTTACTAACATATCCTTCACGGACTTACATCAGCCCCCGAAAGATCAAGAAGTACTACATCGATCCATCATGTAATATAAAGTTCGACAACGAATTTGAGAGTCTCGTCAAAGAAGCTATGGATTATGCCCAACGGGCCGTGAACCGGCTGACCTTAGATTCTGATACCGACTTTGCCCGAGTATACGAAACTCTCTTCAGGGTTCCCAAGACTAATACGCAAAAGTTCAACTGGGGCAAGAACTTCCGCACTATGAACCCCCACAGCGCCGCAGTCCGAATGACTACCTATAAACATGTGGTTGGAGTGCTTAGAGACCTTGCTACTAACTGGAGAAAGACCCACAACCGGTGGGAAGCAGATGTATGGTTTCAATGCGACGCTGGTAAGTAAAAATTTCCCACCACTTTCCCCCATGACAAGTCCATAATCAGTCCTCCTTCCTGCTCATGTACCTTAACCAAGCCGGCAGGTGACTTTAATGCTAACAAATTGACCCACAGGCGCTCGCTTCAACCTCGTACATCCTTCGTCCAGCCTGAAATTCACCCACCTCGACCACAAAAACTTCGTCTTCAACACCTCCCCTTCGCTGAAGACTTCAAAGGTCAGGCCTTTACCCCCCATGTGCTTTCTGCTGAGGGAAAGAATGGAGTAATCCGCAACCTGTGGGGTCTCGACGGCATCAAAGGTCACTTCGAAGTCTACAACCCAGATAGAGTGGTGATCGACCTGTGCAAGTCCACCTGGGAGGCCTTCGGGAAGCTCCCGGACAGCATAAGAGCCGCAAAGAACCGTCTCTGCCTCGCTCACCTGAAACCACTGAACCCAGGTGAAGAAGCCAAAGATGAGGCGGCGTTGGGCCCAGTAAAAGAGTTCAAAGTTGATGACATCGTACAGTGGTCAATCCTGGGAATCATCTTCCGCGAGATGATGCATTGTCGATACTACTGCCTCCATGACGCAAACGCCAGTGGCCCTATCTATACATATCTTGGGTGGGAGGCGGGGTGCATGGATTCCACCACGTTGCCACCAAGTTACGTTCATAATGCAGAAATTTATGCAATGCTGGGGGTTCTAGCCAGACTGGCTGATATGAGGCCTGCTGGTGAGGAGGCGGGTGGGTATACGCTGTCGAGAGAAGACGAAGGGGAGAGGGCTAATGTCACAGGTTGACATTGGCTATATAGTGTGCATTCCGAGTTCTGCCTTGCAAGCAGAACATCGTCCTATCTTTTGTAGGTTTGGCCGTCTGGGCATATGCACCCCAGCCTGTCACAGCTAAGGGGGTTGTGCGCTTTTATGAGGATATTACTTACTAGGCAGGTTATTTAGTAGAAGCAATTTGGGGCTGGTTGATGTAGAAAGTTGGTATGTTTCTTTCCATCTTTTTCGGGCCTGTTCGAGGTTTCCGAGATGACCAGTAGTTCTGGGCGTGTCTTTCTCACATTATCGTTTCTCGTTTGTTGTATCACCGGCCAAAGCCTACCGACTCTTTGTCTTTGAGCATCGCGAATTCCTCTTGTCATAGGGACACGCATTGCGTCTTATACCTCAA